CGCCATTATTGCAGTCCCATCTCTCTCAGTTTGAATGTGGCCTCTTCAAGATGAGGCTCCAAATAGCAGATGGCACTTGAAGATGGTTCAGTCGACAGGAAGATGAATGCGGTCTACGGGACCTCAACATCGCACGTAACAGCAGAGATCTAACGGCAACTTTCTACCTAAGTCTCAGGCGGGGAGATCGGGGCTGGGTCTCGCCGCACCTATCCGGTGCGCTCTCTTCAGCTTGCTGCAGGCTATTGGCTTTCGGAGTTGCCCATTGGTTCGCAAGAAGATTTGGGCGTCACACTAATCACCATCATCCCAGCTTCCAGCCTGTCCCCCACTTGGCCTTCCGCTACTTATGGCGCCCGTAGCGCCCGCTGTCATTTTGCCCTCATTTCCTCATTAGTGGGTGGGTTTCGTTACGCATTGTGTGAATACAGGCATTACGCTCCCTGGACAATCGGCCATGTAGAGTAGGGTCGGGTTTTCATCTTCGTTTGTTGGGTCTCGAGCAAGGCTCCGCCTAGAGGTTTCCTTTGAACAACTGATGACATGTCGGAACAGCTCAGTGCTCACGTCTTCTACAATCTAGATGAGGATCTACCGGGATGGGCTGTCTTTGAACTCGTCCAGCCTCTCTTCGCCTTGGACTTACCATGGGTGCCCGCCTTTCCAAAAGGTCGTTCAAGCACCCGAGATGCTGCCGACGAGGTTCGATTCGACACCTCTAAACGAAAGTTTAGAGCCCATATTACCGCCTTACCAAGCTTGCTTCCTGACAAGACACTCTCTGAGCCCGAATTCCGTGTGTGCAAGAATGCTCTGAAGCCCCTCCTCTGTTTCCTTGACAGCATTGTTTCTGAGGCGATACCCGAGACTGAGCCTGGCTTGGCTAGTGAGGATGAGTTCGATGCAGACATTATCAAAAAGAAAAGAGATAAGCAAAATGAAGTAGCTGCCCGAATGGCCGGATTGCGGCTCTGGGCAAGCCTGGTAGTGCCCCAAGGCCTCCTCACCAACCTAACGAACCTTGTCTCTTGGGCCTATACACAAGCTGCCGGATCTGCTACTTCAGTACGACGGCACATACCAGGACCTGTCGCTGTCGCTTTCCCAGCAATAGAGGGAGATGACGACGCAAGCTCTCCAAAACTTGACAACCTCAGGGCGCTTGGGAAACTCATTCAAAGGAGCCATCAGAAGGACCTGATGAAGACCTGTAAGGAATTTATACGATTTAATGTTTCTCTCGACCAGCTCGAAAAAGCAACAAATGATGCCGGAGAGGTGGGGTCAGTCTTTGCATCTACATCGATCCCCCAGGCACCACCAGATGGACAAGAAATTACAGATACGAATTGGGAGGAGCTTCGACCCTGGCAACTATCGTGCCAGCTTTTCTATCTTCTTAGAGAAAGAACATGCCGTCCTTTGCTTGGATCAAAAGGCGGCCAACCAGAGAGAAAGTTCCACGATGCTAAGCTCCAGCTAGATGGCTTTCTTCTCGACAGTGTCACAGAGTCACTTAGACTTGACGTCTTCCTGTCTTCGTGCCCATCACCACCTCTTCCCTCCTGGCAATCGTCTGCACCGCCGTCTCATTGGCGACAAGGATGGTACACGTCTGTGAACAGGTAAGTAATATGCAGGTTAAGATCACATAATTGACGAGTTGAGATATTGACCATTCCAAGTCGTGAGAATAAGCTTGACGCTATGGATTTATGTGTACACACCGCAAAGCCCATAGAATCAGAGTCGATGGTGACGGGGCAGCCGGTCCTAAAGATGTTCTTTCAGGAAGGCAGGCTATACCACGATGAATGGCATGAAGACAACCACTCAGTTTCCCAAGAGAGTGCCCCAACCATGTCCCTTGCCGACCTCCTCGAGAAAGGTGTTCTTCTTGATCCATTCCAAGGTGGACTATTCACATTTGGCGACAAGGCTATTCTCTCCTTATCACTGGCTCGTTGCCTCCTTCACTTGTTTCGAGGTTCGTGGATGCATGAGCTATGGACCGCCAACAACGTACATTTCCTGCATAAGGAGGCGGAATCTGAGGATTGGATATTCGACATACATCACCCATATGTCACTTGCTCACTCGCGCCCGATAGAGTGGCATCACGGCCAAAACTGAAATCCGACGACTGCCAAAGGTTTCTCTCTGCTTTCGCGAAGTTGCTTCTTGAAATCGAAATTGGGAGCAAGATCGATGTTGACGTTTCACTACCTCATGAGTCATTCAAGATTGAGATGTGGAGGCACGTCAGGAACCTCGAGGTGAGGCGTCATGTAAGCCGGCGTGCTACTGGTAGGACACTTCAGTCATACATCCAGGCAATACATGGCTGCATTAACTTCTCAAAGGCTTTAATGAAGCCATCCGAATCCAATTCGACTCATAGACAGAATGGGGTTCTGGAACCGAAGACTGTCGCTTTTAAGTTGGAAGACGTGCGCAGAGTCATCTATACCAAGGTCGTGAAGAGATTAGAGACACACTTTGCATCATTTCCTACAAGTACGACTGTCTTTCACACCGGTGGCCTGTTCATTCCCAAAATCGCTCTTGGTGCAGCAATGGCCATTCTCCAGCCATGCAATACACCAGGCACATCTCAAAGAGCCGAATACCGTCGTATTGATTATTACCAGTTTTTCGGATTTAGCAGTCAACCGACTTCAACTGTGACAGCGGATATACTAATGTATGTATCTGTTAAGATTCGTTACGTCTTTATACTGCGTAAACATCATCTAATTGTCTAATAGAACTGCTCAAAAGGCCGAAGAGTTTAGCAGACTGTACAGACAGTTTCGGCGACGCTTTATCATCCCATACCTAAAGAAGAGCGAGAAACCTCAAGTTCGCGTCAGAATATGTCTATTAGACACGGGCATTGATTTGAAAGACGAAGATCTCAACTATGAACGGAGAGCCGTTAAGCAATATAGGCTCGAGCAAGGATTCGAGGGCCATGACCTTGACCCAATAAAGAGACGTGAATCATTTCAAGAAGGGACAGATACTAGTACTCGCGATACTTGTGGACACGGTACACACCTTGCTCTGCTCCTCCTCCGTTATGCGCCCGACGCGGACATTTACATAGGTAAAGTATCCTCGGAAATGCAATTCCAGGACAAGAAGGCTATTGTCAAGGTGGGTTTCGCGGAACATCTTCTAGGTCCACGATCAACAACATCATTCATCAATTAACATAATTTACAGGCGATTGAATGGGCGACATGCGATGATGTCAAAGCCGATATTATAACTATGTCGTTTGGGCGTGATCTTACCAGCACCAGCATCCACCAGGCCATTAAAGATTCTCAAAGGACGACTAGTGCAACAGGGCACACTCCATTGCTCTTTGCTGCCGCTTCTAACCACGGACTTCTGAAGGCGCCTTCGTTTCCTGCCTCGGATGCCAATGTTATCTGTGTCTATGCCCTAGACGGCGAAGGCTTCGATGTCCACAGGCTTAACCCACCCACTGATCCATTCAAACCGAATTTCGGCACGCTTGGTCATGCTATCGATCTGAAGTGGTCGGAAAAAGATACTGCTAATAAAACATACGTTCAGCAGTACAAGTCGGGCACGTCGTATGCCACTCCCATTCTTGCTGCGACGACGGCGAATTATCTTGCCTGGCTCGACTGCCACGCCACAAGCTTGGGTACGAACAAGCATAAACACGCAAGAGAATCAGAGTGGATTATCAAGGTCTTTAGGGAATGTATGGCGACAAAACAGGAGTCAAAGTCAGACATGATGTTTGTGGCACCTTGGAACTTTTACTCCATGCAAGGCTGGGATCTAAAAGATTCATACCCAGCTCCTCCTCCCATGGTAGAGGATGACCAAAAGACCACCCAACGGTGTCTAAATACAATTGAGGGCTTCTTATCGGCGGTTGACGATTAGAGATAAGATGCACCCTTGGAATGTACTAGGCATCCATATTCAAGCATCTTAAAACGACAAGCGGGATATGCTTTGATACTGTCATTCCGCGTATGGCCATATGAATGCCGTATATAGCTTACCAATCCGATGAATTTGATGACGTTCAACAACGTCAGCTGCGTTAATCATGTCATGGATAAGGGCTACTATCAAGCTTGGGAGAATGTTAAGTAGGGATTAGCTTATGTCAGTTTTGGCAAAATCTTGATGAGGTTTAGCATTAAGCACCGGAAATCAAACGTCACCAGCTTTACGTAGATACTTCTCATTTTCATGTCTCGTCAAAGCCTACCTTGTGAGCTTTAATCTATACCATGCGATGCTATAAATTGGTGAAGTGTACGTACTCTCAAGAGGGGCCGAATTAGTCAAGTGACGCCACCCTTCTCTTGATAGGTTCTGTATCCCCGCTGGTAGAGTTACGATTGGCTGCGGGTTTCCATTCCGCCTCTACGTGCATGCGGCTGAACATTCTCTGCGCCATCTCCGCTTGTGACCTAATTTCCTTCAGCAAGATTCAGCTGTGGTGATGGCATTAAGAGCCAACAGCGAGGCCCTACCTAAACACTCTTCTCCTCATCATTTCATAGCCGCATAAACCACAGTTTTCATATCAACCCTAGGGAGTGCATTTTCAAGATTTTGTATATGTAAAGAATAGGCGGTCACAATGGTCAACTCATACGTTGTCGCTCCTAACTTTGCGATTGAACCCCCGCCTTTGATTCCGCGCGCTTTGGCTGGGCAACACGCCCCTGGACCAACGGCCCCTACTGCGCAGAGTTATGGTGCTTCTACAACAACGCCAACAATTTCATCTACGCATACACGCAGCCCTTTTTCGGAGACGGTACAAATTCAGCTTGGTGACATCCTTGTTGATCCATTCGGAGCCGAATGGCGGCCGGTGAACCGCTACAGTCGCACAGCGATCGACGGAAAATATGTCGAAAAGCCAAGCAAACTTGGGGGATTCAAAGAGACCCGGGCAAATCTTCTCGAGGGCCGACTTGGAGTGATGGCGAGCATGCTGGCCGCTCTTAACCTTGGCCTGGACTTCAATGTCAGCCTCTACTGGCAAAGCAAGTCTCATGAGATCATCGAAGTGAAAACGCTCGAGACCCATACCTTTGACGTCACCGACGATTATATCAAGATGCTGCTGGCGTCAACGCCTGTCAAAGACCACCTCAAAAAGCATCCCAAGGATTATCTCTATCTTGTATCCGGTCTCAAGTTGGTGTTCACTCTCTTCTACGCTTTCAGCCTTATCTCAATCCTTGAAAAGTTTCTTGTCTTACAATACGAGTGTATCTCTTTGACGTCGGGTCGCGAGAACTTTGATGTGATTGGTATAACATCGTTCAATGACTAATGTTTGGCCTGTAATACAGGGTGGCCAAGGGTGCAAAACAGAACGTGGATAAAAATGCGTGTGCTGGGGCGGATATGAGTGCTGGCGATGCGGCAAATAATATCGCTAACATCAAAGCCTTGAAACTGGCGTGGAAGCGGTCTAAGAGACGCGAATTCAAGACAGCAACCGACTTTGTCATGGCTGTCCGGCTAAGGCGGATCAAGCTGGATGACAAGGGTGAGTTAGCAGACCATTATCTGTCACTCAAAAAGACAACAATGGAGGACGGTACTCCAGTTGTCAAAGAATATGACCAAGGTCCACTGCTTGTGTACGCAGGGCTGGATGATGACCTCTCCCCTGAAAAGAAGATATTCATGAAGGATCTCTATGAAGTAGGCGGTAAGCCAAAAGAGGAACGGGAGGTCCAAAATATCCAAAACTTCGATGAGGCCGACGACTATGTGTTCTTGCCAGATTTGTCAGATGAGGAGGATGAATAAAATTCGGCAATCCTTTTAGCGTCATTCCTAAGTAGTCCATCTATAATTGAAGACTATCTGATATTTGCGTCGTCTAACCATCTTTCTCACTTTCATCATGCGTCTTGCTCGTCAATGATGTGCCACCTCATCTCGTAGGGACACTTGGGTGCCTTCGACATTGCGTTTGCCCCAGCTTCCAGAAACTTGATAACTCCGGCCTCAAACCCTCGTGCCGTAGCCACATGCAATGGCGTCCAGCCTGCCCAATTACATGCATCAACCTCGGGTCCACCCGGAGGGCATGTTTCCAGCAGAGCAACCAAAATTCTCTCGTTCATGTACCAAGCAGCATAATGTAGAGCGCTGTGTTTTTCAGAATCAAAGTCACCAACGCGGGCCCCGGCAGCTAACAACAGAGAGACAACACTAGCATGTCCTTCGATGATGGCGTGCATGAGCGGTGTTCTTCCATCACTGTCACGTTCGTTGGGGTCGGTGTTACTCTGTGATAGGAGAGTCCGTACGACGCCTTCATACCCCTGCTGCGTAGCAATGTGTAGGGGACTAAGCCATCCACCTGGCTCTCCTGGGTGAACCCAGAAATTGTGACGTGCTGCATAGCCAAGATGACTAGGGGAGGAATATTTGTTGGTAGAGTAGCAGGAAGTTTGAGAGCTGCTTGAGGAACCATCGGTATGTTGACGATGGCTGCTCCCCGAAGAACTGTCACCTGTGGTCAGAGGAGGCGTCAAGTTCTGCTCGGATTCGATTCGTGTTAATGGCGCAAAATTGGATATGCTTGGCTGTCTTGAGCCCGCGAGTTCCAAGGAACCGATGCTGTTAACGTTAAGTGTCTCCGGTCTATTGGAAACACTGCTCGCGTCTGGGATATTTGCTGACTGGTATGGTACTGTCACATGCGGTGGAGCCAGAGGTATCGTTACCGGAGTGTCGCTGGGGCTTTGAAGTGATGCAAGGTGGTCAGTAGCCAGAGAAGGACGAGAATGATGACCAAGATTCACATGAGCAACAGCACGCCGTTGATCACGCTTCTCTGCGATGGTCAGTCTCTTTTCAAGTATATAGTACATATTATATGCTCAAAGCTGTGTAGACTGAATAGGCATCGAAGACTTACGGCGGAACTTCCGCTGTGCAATGCGGTTCTGGACGCGGCGTCGTTCGACAGGATCAGTGGGCAACTCAGAAACTACATCCATCTCTTTCGTCAGCCAGTCTTACCCCCGGCAGTAGATATGCAGCTGGGTAAGCAAAGTGGATGCCCTCTAGTGAAAGTAGATGAAAATGAACGGCCAGTTGTGTATGGTAAAGTGAGCAGGATGGAAAGACCCGGTGTGAAGACCTGCTTACTAACATAGCCAATCTTTCGCCGAGTCCGAATGTCGAACAGAGGCACACTAACATTGTCTTGGATCGCCCCACCCGTAAATAAGCATGTAAGCAAGCACGAAAGCATCGCGATACATTGATCATACACCCACCCTCGTAAAATGGCGCAGTTCAATAAGCTATGAGGCATGGGAAAAACAGACGAGATGGTAACCCGCAAGATCATGAAAGTGAAAATCTGGAAATGAGGACCATTGAAATTCTAGGAAGGTAAGATCTCAACCGGGCTTACATTCTTACTTTTATGACCAACCTAAAATTTTCACTTGTTGATTATTCACCGTAAAGGCCACTTCTATCTTAAAAAGATAAAAGGCCCAGAGTTTCGTGATTTCTGAGGAGTACTCTTACTCACTCTTTGTCTCGTACAAAATCGGACATCTCCCGCATTAGTCAATTTAAATTCTACGTCCCCATTGCTGATCTTGAACTGTTGAGCGGAAGCAATATGAGCACAACCATCGTTTTAATTACTGGTGCTAGCCGTGGCATAGGTAAAGGATTGCTTGAACAATATCTTGCTCGGCCCAACTATACTGTCATCGCGGCCAACCGCAACCCAAATGATGCAAACTCTCAAGCCCTTACAAGATTGCCCAAAGGAGATGGGACAACCTTGGTTGTGATCAAGCTCGATTCAACAGTCAAGTCAGACGCTGTTGAGGCCGTGAAGCAACTCAAAGCTAAAGGTATAGATCATGTCGACGTTGTCATTGCCAATGCCGCCATCAGCTATATTTATGGCAAGGTCGCAGAGCTCGACACCGAGGACATGCACAAGCATGCTATTGTTAACAACTATGCTGTCATATGGCTCTTCCAGGCTCTTATCCCGCTGCTAAAGAAGGCCGTGCAGCCAAAATTCATCGGCATCGGCTCGTCCGCAGGTGTACTCACGGTATGTTCGCCTCTACACCACTAGAATCGGGAGCTTGTCTTGTTACTGACATTTTGATATTCTAGTGAGTCAACTCAAAGCCACATGCGTTCCAAAGAAGCTAGAAGCTAATGTGTAACTACCATATCAGGGACATGTTAACGACTCCAAACTCAGCATACGGACCAACAAAAGCCGTCCTTCATTATCACTGCAAAAAGATGCACCAAGAAGAACCGTGGCTTATTGCATTCCCAATTGATCCTGGGTAGGATTCCATCCCATCTCAAGAGAGACATGGTCATTTCGACACGCGGAGTGGTGTCGGCTAACCTCTTCATTTCTCTAGCTGGGTGCAGACGGATATGGGAGAGAATGCTGCGGCGCTTCTTGGTGTGGAGCACGCGCCAACGACCACCGAAGACAGTGTCGGGGGGCTTATCAAAGTTTTTGATGCTGCAACTCGTGGATCTCACAGTGGAAAGCTGTGGAAATACACTGGCGAGGAGATAAAGCAGTGGTAGATGGCCGAAAATACCCGAGAAGTGCTCTCACTTCACTCTATTCTTAGCAACAAAGACGTTCTAGGCAAGGGTTGAGTTTGAAACAAGAAAACAGTATACTTAAATGCAAATATGAATCTTTTCCTGATAAGAAAGTCTTTATCAGTCGTTTATGTTCGATATTGCTCACCGGTCAGCCAGGTGTATTTGTTGCTCGCGTTGCTTATTCTTACTAGGACGGAGACTTAGGTGCTTACTGCGCTAATGCAGGTTGCTTATTGCCAGCCAATACAGTACTTGCTTGAAGCCCATAGGGAAACAAAACCTGGGGCACCGATGATTTAAGCCGCAACAGTCGCACTCTACCAGTAAGTCCAAGTCTGTTATCTTCGATAGTCTCCATTTCGGCTGAACGATCTGCATAAACCTCCAAAGAATTCGGTTGCTGTCTGCAGCGTGTTCCGCTGCCATGACAGAAGTTGCATGTGGCTGTCGCGAAACGACAATCCCCTAATGCTTGTGTTTGTCCTGCCCGCACTTCCCAAAAAGTCGAGCAAGTTGAGTTACAGCAGTAACACCGTGATGCTTTGAACTTGGAGTAAGTATCGCAGACTCTGACTCATTCCTGACTTGATGCGACACTACATACTCTTGTACATGTCATGCATTCCTTGAGAGACCACTCGGAGCCAGGCACTCGGAGACGAATGCGCCGCTGAAAGCTGTGCAAGCTATCTTGACCCTTAAGTACAGTACCTATGAATTCACAATTTGACCCGGATTTTAGTCATAATCGCCCCGATGACATACGGCGTTAATGCGCGCCCTATCACTTATTAGTGACAGGGGAGCTCGGGATCCCGATTAGCGGCCGGGGGAGTCATTGGGCCTAACTCACCCTAGCGGCTCAAGACGGTTAGCAGATGATTAATCCTGCTCGCGATAGCCAAAAACATCAAAAACGCGGTGGTCCGAACGTGAGCTCGGTCTCTTGCCGCTCATCTCTGACAATTCGTTTTCCTTCTTTTCTCTGCGTGAAACAGCTTTCTGGCGTCTGACAGAGTATGGAGGGCGTCACAATGGCAGAGACAGAGCCGTTGCTCGGGACCGGTATCGGCCAGACGGAAACTCTCGCGAGAGAACCAAATGCTGTCGTCGATTTTGACCCCAATGGTGATCTGGAAAACCCCCTAGACTGGCCGAAGGCGTTCAAATGGGGTATCGTGGCGCTTCTGGCTTTCATGGCCTTCACTGTGTATGTGCATTGGCCTTGAAGCGGCTGCCGTGGTGCAATTCTGCTGACATTCTCTCCAGGACATTTACGTGCATATCAATCGTCCCAATTGCAAGCGCGATCGTGGCAGATCTATCCGACGGAGAAGGCAGTAAATCAGCCAGTGTTCTGCTCGTTACGATTTGGGAGTTCGGCGAGGCGGCTGGTCCGCTGTTCATCGCGCCGCTCTCTGAGATCTATGGACGATATCCAGTGCTGAATGTTGCCAACATTCTCTTCATCGGAACCATTGTTCTCAGCGCCCTCTGTCAAAGCACAACCTTGTTCATTGTCACGAGAGCTTTAACAGGCGTGACTGTCACATCGAATGTGTTGAACCCTGCCATAGTGGGAGACATGTTTGCCTCCGACGAGCGAGGCACGCCCATGAGTATCATCGCGATGGCGCCGCTGATAGGCGGTGCTGTTGGGCCTGCCATTAGCGGTGCAATCGCGCAGAGCTTGGGCTGGCGTCAAGTTCTGTGGATGAGCGCTGCATTGGCGACAGCATGCGAGATCTTGTTCCTCACCTGCTTCAATGAGACATACAAGGTGCCTATCCTGAAGCGAAGAGCTGCGAGACTGCGGGGAGAAACAGGAGACTTCTCATTGCGGACAGCTTTTGATAGTGATGAAGAAAAGAAGTCTAGAAGGATGTGGGAGTCTGTAATGAGGCCGGCAGACGTGCTTTTCGGTTCTGGAGTGCTTCTGTCCCTGTCGCTTTTCGGGTCTGTGGCATTCGCGTATTATTACATCATGTCTGTGACTTTGTCGGATATCTTGCAAGACATCTACAAACTGTCTCCCGCTTTGACTGGATCATCGTTCATGTCTTTCAGTACGTATCATTCTCCAAAAATGCCTCCTTACCACTGTTGAGACCTTCAGGCTAATGAAAAACTAGGCGTTGGTTCTCTTATCAGCATCATTATCTGCAACTTGAGCCTTGATAGGATCTACATCAAGCTTCGTAAGTCTCGGGGAGGCATCGGGCACCCAGAGTATCGCCTACCTCTAGCTATTTTTGGCGCTTTCGCTTTGCCTGTCGCCGTCGTGTTTTACGGCTGGAGTGCTCAGTTACAGCTCCCTTTGCCATTCGTTCTGGCTTCGGTTGCCATGCTAGGAATGACGCTCATAATCGCCTTTGTGCCTTTCATGGCTTACGTGGTGGATGCATTTGGGTTATACTCCGCCTCAGCCATGACTGGAGTCATTGTTACTCGATGCCTTATGGGCACATTCCTACCACTCACTACCGGACCCTTGGTGGAGCATTTGGGCTATGGCTGGGGATTTACTGTGTTTGCTGGGATAAGTTTCCTTCTGGCGCCGATTCCAATTTTAATCATGAGATACGGACCGGTGTGGCGACAACGATCAAAATACACCAAGGCAGCGTGATCTTTTGAATGGCCGGACGCGTTTTCAACCTTGTCTCACTGTAATTTTTTTTTTATGACAACGATTGATATTGTGGGGAGAAATTACAGTTACCTAGAGCAGGCATCTAATTGCATTTCAATATCTTTTAGTTGGCCTAGATAGAGAGAATGGCGCAGCTTGTTTTACTCTTTGGGAATGAAGTCCTCGTTGCAGCCCCGCTCGCTGATGAAGTAAGACTCAAACATATTTACTGACGTTCCTTATAATGATACCATTGACTTAACATGTGCTGCTATCGAACAAAATGACCTAAAGCTCATGCCTTTGCCATGCAGTACGGGAGCTCATTGTAATCAACTGTCCGGTTCTCTTCTCGAGCCGTCAACATGAATCTAATATCCTGACCTCTCCTTCGCCTCGCCGCCCAGACCTCTTGCCGCAGAAAACTCCCGAACCATACCCTCACCTATCACACCAGTATCGGTCGTGACAGAAATCATGTCGAAGCCTTGTGCAGCTCTCTCCTTCGCCTGGGCTCCATTGCTGCCTATAAGTGGATCTCATATCAGCATCATGTGCATATCTGAATCTGAACGTCGCAAATAGAGTATAGGGGAGGATCCATCCAACATGGTGAAAGAAGACCTACAGAAAATTGCGGCAATCTTGCCTGCTGCCTTCGCAGCCTTCAGGATGCGCTGAATAGCCGCCTCATGCTCTTCACCACCACGAACAACATTCATCTGCTTAGCAAGATCGAAAGGACCTATTTGTGTTCTAGTTAGCGGCGCCACTCCTTTCGCTAAGCTTTTTTGCATGATGCCCGAAATAAATGTAACAGCAACTCACCAATCAGAAGAATATCCAAGCCTTCAACCTTTGCAATCTCTTCTACATTCTCAACACCCAATCTTGACTCAATTTGTACAGCGACAAACAGCCCCTTATCGGCCTCCTCGTCATACTTATCCGCAGGTAGCCCAGCAAAGGAGTGAAGCGCGTACATAGGTCCGTAACCTCGGCTTCCGACAGGCGGGTATTTCGAGTACTTCACGATGCGAGCAGCATCTTCCTGTTCTATATTCAGCAAACGTCATTCGCCGTAAAACCCCCTGAGAATGGCCCTGCTCTTGGAGAACCAGTGCGTCATGGGAAATTGGACATACAGGAGTATGGCACATGGGGGTAAGCACACCCTGTGCACCCGAGTCGAGCGCACGCTTGATCAACCATTCTTCTGACCAGGGGACACGAATAATCGGAGTTGCTCCTTCTGAAGCTACAGCATTGCAGAGCTACTCAGAGAAATATTAGTTTTACTTGATCCCAATTTTGCACCTGGGTTACTTCTCCTGGTTCGAGTATACCTCGTAATAATCCTTATCTGAGATCAATCCATGCTCGGCATCAATCAAGACCCATGAAAACGGCCCCGTAGGTGAAGTAGCAGCCGACCGAAGGATGACTTTGGCAACACCTGCACTTGGGAATCTTCAAAATCAAAGCAGAAACAGTCAGTCGAGGTCACGACGGGCTCGGTGTATTGTGCACCGAGTGCAAGAATGATACCAGTGCGGAGAAACTCACGTGAGCCAGAAGCCCCAGGCGGTCTCCTTCTTCTCGAAGCTCGTACGGACGGCAGTAGTGAATGACATTTTGGGCGGACGAATGGGGACCAGTCTAGGAAAAGCAAACCGGGTGAAGCTATCTCGTGTAGGTGTGTAGAGAGGATGGCAAGAGAATAATAATCGCAAATGTCTGGACGCCGGATGCCAATCGGCGTGCAATGACGCTCGTCGCATAATAGCCGAGCCGATGGAGCTAAATCCTCGTGCCAGTGGGTTTGTTCGCCATCCGCCCCGTACTAGGCCCATTACAAAATGGAGAACTCGGCTTTCGCAATTCTCCAAATACTGACGGATAAGCAATCCAATCATGGGGGGGCTAGAAAAGCATTCTTGTAACTTTTCCGAAGGCTACGGCATCCGTGATCGGGGGACCTGGACTCGGTGACCCCCACGCATACCCCTCAATGTCGCTATCGTGAATAGCAATAGTAAACTCGCGTTAAAACATTACTACGATACTCATATAGAACTTAGGCTCTTGGACTTTAGAGTGCCCTATATTCAAGTGTCAGTGCACATGATATGATAATATTCACTGGCTCTTGAAGCCGAGATATTCTAATGTAAGTCGGGGCAACTGAATTGAATCTGAGTGACGAAGAGGTGTCCCACACATTTGGCACCTAGCGTGGGGTAGATGCTCCCTGCAACCCCACACAATCCTGACTGGGCATCGAAGGCTGTCCCAGGCCCCTGCCTGGCGATCTTCAATCCTGCGCATCGCACGGGCAATGCTTATACTTCTTGATTCTTGATGAGAACTTTGATCTCTTTCCCACTGGCCACGGCTTCAAGGGCTTCCTTCGCTCTTGAAAGGGGAAAGATGGCCGTGATGAGGGGCTTCAGATCGACAACGCCTCGTGAGAGCATGTCAATGGCTGATGGGAAGCATGATGCCGTATAGCGTGTGATGCCTCTCACATCAAGCTCCTTGTTGGTCACCGCAATCGTAGGGAAGATGTGCGTCTGGACATGTCCTAATCCCACCTGAAGAACTACACGTGGAGAGAACACCCAATTAGTCTCGTTCCACATCGACTTCTCGTTAAACAGGGGGAAAACAAATGGGCAATGTTCATGGAGCTTAGACTTACATATGCCGCCCTCCTTGCAGATGGCTACACCATGCAGCATTGCGTCTTCAGCTCCACTAGCCTCAACGACCCTGTCTACACCCTCCTCAGCTGCCAAGCCGCATTCGTCGATAATCTTCGTCATTCTCTTCTTTGCCCACTCCCACTTGATATCGCCGACGGTGTCTTCGTGCACGGCTTCCTGATCCGCCGCTACAGGTATCTCGCCAGTTTCCGCCACGCTGACATCGCCATTTGTAGCTGTATCATGCTCCGGAACTTCCGGAAGAGGCTCGATATGATAGGCGTGGTCGATAATCGGCTTTCCAGTAAGCGGCGATAGGTACTTCTTGGCAAATTCAACTCTGGATGGGTTAATGTCAAAGGCGATGATCTTCCGTGCAGAGTAGGCATGAGCCACGGCAGCTGTGATAAGTCCTATGGGACCACAGCCACTGGAGTACTGTTATTAGCACAGGTCTTGCAGATCAGGAAGTATATGAGTAGTGACGCACAATATAGCTAATGTCTGATGGGCTTTGAGATCCGCACGCTTGCCTATTTGAACGCCAATCTATTCATGAGTTTGGCAGCAGTCAGTAATGAGATTGGACCGGTGTGAATGGGTTTTAGACCGGTACTCACTGCTAAAGGTTGGATGCTGCCGGCCTCGTCCCAGCCCACGGACTCCGGAACATGAGGCGCCATGTCTGATGGAACGGCAAAGAATCTTCAAAAAAATGAAAATATTAGTGATCCAATTAGTCTGCAGATGCGGTATTGTAAAGTGTCATCTACCTTGACAGCGTTCCATGTGTACCTGGGGCACCGCAATAGCGTATACTGAGGCAAATATTACCCCTGCCATTCTTGCAGTTGACGCACTTCCTACAAGGAAGACCAGGCTCAACTAGAAAACAGTATGACAGTCAGTATCAGCTTTGAATAGGCGCTGTTCAAATCTTATCATGATGTGCAGAGGCATTGTAGTAAGGAGAGACACGCCGCCCTGCAGTATTCATAACTAATTCTGCAGAACAAGCAAATGTGAGATGGCCCACCTGCAACACGGTCTCCGGGTTTATGTGTCGTTACCTGCTCTCCTACAGCTATGACTTCTCCTGCTGCCTCATGGCCCATGACAGTCGGTTCGACGACAGGTCTACCACCCACGCCGCCAGCGAGATAGCCGTGCATGTCTGACCCGCATATACCATTGGAGATAATCTTCACCAAGACGCCATCGGGCTGGAGTATTGGTAGAGGAATAGGCTCGACGCGAATCGTTCTTTTCTTGACGAGTAGGCATGATGTGTTAGGGGGCAGATTCAATGCCGTCACATGCGGAGGCTGTTGCTGATTAACATAGTGTTGAGACATTCTCAACTAGGCCCCGGGTCTCTAATATTGAATAATTAACAGAAGCAGTGATATAAATAAGAAGTTTAAGGATCAAAATTATTGTTCAAGTAAGCTCCTTTGATGGTTCGTAAGCAATGTAGCTATCGCATATTATGGGCTGGCCGTTACTGGTCACAATCCGTCGACAAAAGGTGAGATCAGAGAAACAAGTTAAAATCCATCCGTGCTCCGGTTACAATTTCGTAATTGATTAAGGACAGTCATCATCTCACTCCCATCACTTTCGAATGAAAAGCCGCAATCGGATCCGCCACCGGCCGGACAACTAGCTAAGCCTGGTCGACCTTTGGCGCCGCCGTCGACCCACCTTCTAGCTCATCCCTCAAGTGTTGTCTCAACCCCACAATCTCCACCGTGGAAGGTCACGGCGCAAACTGATGGAATATCTCTGGTTGGGGGTCACTTGCAATAGCCATTAATATGTGCCTAGTCTCGAGTGTTCCCTGCAATAAGCACAGGTGATGTTGCATCTTTCCAGGTCCGGGACCAATGGCTTGAGGATATAATTCGACACGTGTTCCCTCTTAGAACACATCATCGACTCGATACGACTTTTTTGCGAACAGCTCAGCTATCGTTTTTACCAGGCGATTCTGCAGTGGGAGAAGTCGCAGATGTCCTCACGGGGCCATTCAATTCTATGGCCTGTGCTGTATGCTGCTTCGGGCGTTGACGTCGAAACCCTGTATTCTGCGCCGCCCATGCTCTGCCCTCTTCCTTCAATCTGTCGTCGTCCTCGCGTTTCAGTGTTTTCTAGCCTTTACAAGGAATAAAGTGACCAAGAAACAAATGGCACAGCACGGGATCATGAAATAGTAGATGTTCCAAATACCATGGACTAAATTTGTTAGTCGGTTCGGTTGCGATTTCGAGTTTTGAGTTGAGACAGCAGACTATGTACGGGGAATAACTTACTGTAGGCAAGTATCACCTCCGCTTGCTGCGCCGCCGTGAGACCGAGTTCAGGTAAATAGATATCTGTGGGGTCTAAGATGATAGATTTTGAGGACGGTAGCTGGTAGGCTCGACTGTACCTCGTTTCTACATGGATGGTAATCGGAAGTCCCAACAATATTTCACAATTGCACTGACTTGACACTGTTGTTTAATATTGCAGCAGAAGTAGCGAGTGCAATCGTGCCGCCCAACAATCGCAGGAAATTCCTTACACCAGGCGCCACTGCCATCTGATCTCTTGGAAGACTTGCTTGCATGGCAATCAGGCCAGTCATGAATGTCGAACCTTCCGCCTGGACATATCTGTAGGTGAGAAATATACTTCTCGAGCTTGCCGATTTCTTCTCGAAGATAGAGTCGACAGGAACGTCCTCACCAGGGCTCGCTAGCAAGATCAAGGCTCAAATCACGGGGATTGATGAGCGTATGCGGAAAGAATCTCAACAAATACGGGAGCCTGGATTACCATCTATGGGCCTAAGCCTACTCTCTAATTGGTCAAACGTTACTCCTTTCAGGTCCTTCAACAAAAGTCATTTAGAAGTAAGTCATGTTCCTCTTCATAATAATACTGTGATACATAAATTTAACATGTATATTTAGAATCTCCCTTTTGTCACTCGGTCTAATATAATCAACCGCTACAGGCCTCAGATTAAACCGGTCTCTCCGGATATTTTGACTCAGCACCGCAGCGGTAGCAACAACGAGCTAAATAATAACTCTACGCGAGACAACCAGTCTGTGACATCTACACAGGCTTATCGTTCAGTAGCCTTACTAGGTTCGATTCAAGAATCTATGTTGAATGATTTATTTGTCATTTCTCTCAACAATACCGTACTAGACACTCCAACAACGTTTAATATGAGCTATTCATCAACCCCTCAAGAGGGCAACCTATTTCGGGACGATTTGTTCGCGAATTGGCCCTGTAGCTCAGAATAAGAATAATCGTTTGGTAGCGACTGTGGTGCTGGATGTTAGTCAGCTGCTAAGCAAGCACTTGTATATCATCCATTGTTGCCTCAACGAAAATAGAAGTTGTCAGAGAACGTATGTCAGTGGAGGCTATTATATCCATGTACTAATGCGGTGGATTAGGGATAAGCTCTTATGCTTAACCCGGATCACTCTAGCTGTACCGACATTGGCACCTGTCGTTAGCCGTGGGGCTTTGTGTGAGCATTGTGCTCTTACGGTCTTTCCTAAAACAGCGACTGCCTAGAGTTGATATTTATTGGAAAGAGCAGGCAGGGGGGACGCAGATGTACACTCAGAATTGGCAAGCGCGATCAGGCGGTGAGTGAGTTTGGCCATCTGTGTGTTTACTAGGCATTTCCCAACTTCAGACGAACCTCGCCCCAGAACCTCACCAAAACCCTCACCCGAAAACCACCATATTCATTCTGTTGACGCCACCGGGTAAAGATCGATCATTCTTGATTGGCGGGGTCAACACAGTCACATACTTCTTCACGCCTCAGCTTTTGGAACTCAGGATCATTCTTTCGATTAACCGCCTTAGAAGCTCACAGCTTCAGCCCTGGTGTGATGGAAGACATCCATTCTTCTGACGCCTCAGACGGCAGCAGCATGTCGTACAGACTGGCGCCACTTCCCTCACAAGAGTGCCCCGTTTGCGCATCAAGGTCTGGCTTGCTACGTTGCAGTGGCTGCAGAGTTGTCGGTTATTGCGGCACCGCACACCAATCAGTCCATCGGTCAAAGCATAAGACAGCCTGCAAGGCCATCAAGAAGAGCAGGGAGAACCTCGAGCGCGAAGAAGCCGCCCTACGAGCTCAGCCTGCAGACTTCATGATGCCGGCAGATGTATTTACTAATGGTGTAGGGCGCTTCTGGGGCATAGTCGGCACAAGAGACTACATGAGAGCGCGATTTGCTGCCGCCAGCGCTCTTCTTGAAATCGAGTCGGTGCGGGCCGTTGAGATGGCGCTGGATCACCTCAAAGACATGCTCCATCTCTGTCGGAGTGACAATCTGGGTGTGCGAGACATTGTTCCCAATCTCCTGCTGCGTCTCGGCAAGGAACAGGAGTGCTACGACTTTCTCAAGTGGTGGGCTGTCATCGATGATAAAGATCACTACAACGAAAAGTACGACTGGAGCGATCCTACCCTGCCCTATCTGGACATCCACAACGCAAATGTGTTTGAGCCCATCGGCATACTCTGTTCCGGAAATCTGAGCCTCACTCAGCTCGCCGCCCTCACCCTTCTCAAATTGCGCCTTTATCTCGATCTCGATGCGTATGCAACAAAGGCAGAAGACATGTTCGAGTCCGACATGTGTTATTATGAACCTGATCGCCCCGTCGGAAGACTTGTACGAGCGAGGATGCGGACGAATACCATGCCAGACCTATCCGCGACTGCTGAGATATTGAAAGAGCAATACCTCGAGCTCTGTGAGGTTGTACATAAGAAAAATCCACATTTTTGGGAAGCCTTGGTTGAAGAAGAAGCTTCTTATCCACCCCCATACTATTCGCCGGGTTCTCAAGAGGAAGCGGATCTGGCTGTTTACCAATGTTTACCTGTCTGGCAAGAGAGCGAGGATGCCATTTTGATGGTTGACGCGGACACCGCGGGCCACGCCTGTGTCTACGAAGGTAGCGGTCCCCTAACTAACATGGGCACTCTACGACTGGCCGGTATGGAGCAAAGAGTGGAGCAGTTGGAAAAGAGGCGCGGTACCGGAATCACATTTCCATCGATATTCAAGCCCCCACGGCCGACGTGTACTCCAGCCGGCATATTTCTACCAACTGGAATGGGAAACCAAGAGACTGTCCTCTTTGTGGGTCGCGATGGCAAGAGGAAGGTACTTGTGTACACTGACGGTGCTTGTACCAATAATGGCCACGCGAACCCTCGTGCAGGCTGGGCAGTCGTTTACGGGCCATCCAGACTTGATGAAAGTAATAGTTCCCATGTGGTGTCCGGCCCCCTCGAAAACAAAGGGCCATTTGGAGACGATAGTGTCGCAACAAGCAACCGAGCTGAGCTACGGGCAGCCATCGCTGCACTGCGCCTTTGCGACTGGCGTCGTGAGGGATTCGAGAGCATTGTCATTGCAACTGATTCATCCTACCTGGTTGATGGTGCCACTGGTTGGTGCAAAAACTGGGTGCGCAACGGATGGAAGACGCGCTCCGGCGATAATGTGAAGAACAAAGATCTGTGGGACATATTGCTCGGCGAAGTGGAGAGATGGAAGGAACGTGGTTTGAGGGTCGAACTTTGGAAGATTCCGAGGGAGTTGAACATCGATGCCGACGTCGCGGCAAAGCAGGCTGCCAATAACTCACTGACCAAAGCCGACTTTGAAGATGTCGTAATGTCTACTAATCGGAATGCGGCAACAGTAATCGAGCAGAAACCCCGGATTCTTGTGTTGTGCTTCGAGTCCGAATCCATGTTCGACAATTGTTACCCGAATCTCATCTCACAGATCTCCTCAAGAGCCAAGATGGAACGTGCCTCGACGCCAAAAGCCGCCCTGGCTATACTTGGCCACAGCTCACCGCCATCCATTATACTTGTCGCAGATGGAGCACTTACACGCGAGAGAAAGGTTTGGGAGTGTGTGATAGATCGTCTCCGCCAAGGTACCACAGTTGTGCTAGGAGGCTGTTTCAGCAGCATGGTGAGCACGGGTCAATTTATTCGTTTCTTTGCTAAGGTTGGTCTTCCCTGGAAGAGAGGATCATATCATCGAGCGACAACCACTCTGCGCCGGGATGCTGTCGGTGCGTCCCTGGTCAATTTTCTTCCTTCGTCATATAGCCAAAAGGCCCTCTTCGTAAACGGTATACAGAGATCCATGGCCTGGTACACTGAAAGAGAGAATTCCAACGAGGCCGCTATTGCCTTGGCAAAGGTTGGCTCTGGCAGGCTGGGTTATATTGGGGATGTGAATGGTGAAGAAGGTTCAGATACAGCGGTTCTTGCCATGTGTGGCCTTCTAAATTGATTGATTCTGATTTGCGGTCATTGGGAGTAAATGGCTATAGCTTGAGTTCATGGGAAAGGGGAACAGGGGAGCAGCATCAAATTGCTATTCGACTCTTGCTCTTTAAGAATTAGGTATGGTCACTGGAGCAAGTCAGTTTTCTGCTTACAGAAAGACGCGCTATGATGAATGCACATGATATTTCGTAACCATATCACGAATCACGAAATGGTTTCGATTTCGAGCTTGAATATTGAACATACTGTATGATAATCGTAGCCTCCTGAATCCAATATTTGAGACGCTTATCTCGATGTACTATGAAAAAGACGGATTCTCCCACGGCGCAGCTCAGAAGCTCCAATCCTTGCAAAACCAAACCCCCTTTATATTTTCTCTTCTCAGAAACGGAGAACACGGCGCCGTGGGGTATCGTACTCATGGTGGCAACTGGATGATTTGGATAGATGTGGTCAAGCCACGAGTTTCAGCCCAAGCTGGCGGATAACATATGATCGCTGACAGCAACAGGGGACCCCTAGCAAACAGTGCACTATCAAGGGTCCTGGTCCTGGCTAAGATCGCACCAAATTTCTAGTATGGCGACTTACCTGGTTATGGTTTAATTTTTTCCGTGAGCTTCTCGAGTTTGCAATGTACTCGAAACAGCTCTAATAAACATCCATCTGACAATCCTGGCTGTGCCCCGCAACGGAGCCGAGAACATCCAATTCGTGTTTTGAAAAGTCACATTATATAGCATCATGACATTCAATGAGACGGACAGAATGGCTCTAACCATCATTCACTGGTCCGTAAGGCTTCATTCCATTCATTTACCACATTCGTTTCTTCGGACATTGTCACCATGAAGCTGTCGCTTCGTTCGTTCATTTCTTCCCTCCTATTCACCGACGCAGTTGCAGCCCAAGGTCTCACTGCGGATTCTCTTGAGAAACATGCAAATTCTTTGACTCTTTCAAACTCATTCAATCCAGTAAAAGCCGCTTACTGGACTGGTTACCCGCATCACAGACGGACTCCATTCGCTCTCTCTCCCGATGGGAAGACTGCCTATCTCGCCTACCTCGACTCTAGTGAGACGGACGTCCATGTTCAGCCCGTTGATCCTACGACCTTTGCGGCGACTGGGACGCCGGTTACAGTGACAGGAGCTAAAGAAGCCGGTGGTCTGGTAGCACATGATGATGGCTTTGCGCTCCTTACAAACGAGGCTCTTCCTTCCGGTACCACCAATGCGCCTGCCGATTCAACTCCAGTAGCCGCGCTTTATCGATTTGATGCATCCGGCAAACAGTCATGGAAGACTTTTCTTGGTGGCCCGGGAGTGAGCACCTCCTTCGGTCTAGTCTCATCGCCCGATCTAAACGGCGACCTTGTCTTCTCCGAGACCGCAGGATACTACGCGGCTTACTTCGTGGTGACAGCTTACACCGGCGATGCTGCAGGACATTTCGGCGACGCTATACGCTACGTCGACACCAGCGGCAAGTTGACGACTATCTCCGGTGCTTCAAGCGATTGGGGCTGCTCTCATAACACGGGCATTGCTCTAGAAGCCGCCGATGCAGCACCATTTGCATCTCTCTGTGCCGAGGACCAGGGCGCTATTTGGTTGAACACTAAGGGCCAGGGTATGTCGACGGCCGGGGTCAAGGTGTCCAACGAGAACACCACCAATGGTGGCAGCGGCGAGCCTATGGGCGGCATGAGCGGCTCATACAGCAACATGGCTCGTTTCGCAGACTCCAATGCGTACATCTTTGCTTGGGTATCACGAGGCGCCAAGGATCTAACAGTCAACGACTGGATGGGGAATGGATACACGCACTCTGTGAACCGCACGAACGGTCGCAATGTCGCTATTGCCTTGTTCTCAGACAAGAACACCATCGTCGGTGACCAGGCCACGAGCGTGGTTCCCTCCGCTAGCGGCGACTCCCAGGTCAACTGGGTAACACAGAGCTCGGCTGATTGCTCCAATGCGCACGCAGCGGCCTTCGACGCCAGCAATGCACTGGTGACATGGGAGGAGATCGGCAGCCCGACATGCGACTTCATCGCCATGGGCTGTCGGGGTACCTTCACTGGATCGTTCTTCCAGCTTGTTAGTAGCGACGGCACGAAGGTCGGGGAGCCAGCTAAGTCTACGGACACCTTTGTCGCTGGGGATATGGTCACGATGAGCGATGGGCGTATCTGCTGGCCGTATGTGGATATGACTTGGACGCTGGACAAGGCCGTTGGCTATGGTGCCGGGACCACTACGACGAAGATGTCGTTTGCTTGTGCCAATCTCAACGGCGCTTCATCAGGAGGAAGCTCGAGCGCCAATCCAGTGTCATCCAGTACTGCAGTGCAGGCGTCTTCCAGCCCGGTCGCTGTCTCGATCGTAGAACCTGCTGCGACGGGATCAAATGCTGCAACTACTCCCACGAGCGACATTGCCATTCCCGTTGAGTCCACCTTGAGTGTTGAGCCAACATCCGCGGCTCTCCCAATCGGGGCCTCTAGCTCCGCGTCTGCGTTCCCGACAGTCGTTCTTCCTACCACCCGGGCGACAACTCGAGCGGGCGGCGTTGCAACCACGCTTCGGACGAGGATACGGCCCACTCATCGCCTGTCTCCTCATGCGCCAGATGCAGCGTGCACTCCACATGTACGGACGATTACTAGAACGCTATGATCATTCCTTCCTCCACTATCGAGTGTGTTGCGCACGCGACACTGATTACCGCAGCTGGGACCTGTGTTAACAACTTTTTTCACTTCATGTTTGTATTATATTTCTCAGGTAAATAAGCATAGCATTATTCGAACGTGCGGGCTAAAGATACAACTTCGTGTGTTGGCATTGAGAACAACCCAAGCTAGCAGGTAGTTCATGAAACTGTGAAAGACAAGAGATGTGAAAATATCTCATGACTAGTCAAATAGGTCCCAGCTCTTGGATATTGCGTGTTGATAATATTATATCCCCGAGGCATAGCGTATGAACGCAGTAACACTATTTCTTCTGGCTGCAAGGGGCCGTCAGCTGATCAAATACCTGGGTGAGAGTTGTTGGGTGACGTATGATTCGACAGAATACTGTTACTCGGGTATGCCTTGCTGCCTGAATTGTGGCTTTTATTCAGGCATGTTTTTCAACTTTTATGTCCCAGCCTCGCCTCCTCCTCATGAGCATCTCATCACTATGATCATGCAGCAGCACACGAAACTTTGAGCCGTCGTTTGCGTATAGCGATGCTGTACCATGTATGATAATAACAAGAACACATTGTTCATTGCTCTAAGTCTAATTTGAATCCTTTCGTTTTCCAAGACTTTTACGTCCCGTTTCCCTTCCTCTGTCGCAGGAGCTTATCACTTCATCGGCGCGAGGATGGCCGAAATCATTGGCCTAGGTGCGAGCATCGCCACTTTCATCCAAATCGCCGGATCCATCGCTAGTGTCTGCAAGTCATATATCGAGGCAGTTCAGGACTGTCCCAAAGATCTTCGCCTCATCTACATCGAGACTTCCAGCATCAAGTTGTTGTTCGAGAGCTTACAATTCCTACATGAAGACGACGTCGACGACTCTAAGGCTAGCCAGATCCTTTTCCAGCCAGACGGGCCTATTCTTGGCTGCGGCAGGGCCGTGACTGAGCTAGGGAGACTTCTGCCCGCCAGCCTATTGGCCCCTGTCCCAACAAGACCGGCAGCGAGCCGGGCAAAACGGCAGAGATTGAGCCTAAGTCTAGTGTCCCTTGCATGGCCACTCAAAGCGTCAAAGGCTCGAAAGCTACTTGATGAAATTATGCAGTACAAATCCACCATAACCATGGGTTTAACAGGGGAGCTTTGGTGAGTCTACCTCGTCTTCTCCAAATATATGCTTGCTTCCTAGACGCTGATGTCAGGTCAGTCGGAACGTGAAAGACGTGAAGAAAGATATCCAGAAGATGAAACAATCTTTGACAGGTATGAAAAGTAATTCAACTGCTCGACCCTGATGCTGATATCAAAGCCTAGAGTCTGAACAGAGAGCGATATGCAATTGGTTCGAACAAATAAATCCTTCGTCAAATCACAATATCGCCAGATCCCTTTACGAAGATGGGACAGCAAGCTGGGTGCTCCGATCCCAGGAATGGATGGACTGGATCAACCTACGGGCACGCGCGGTTTGGCTCTATGGCATACCCGGAGCCGGAAAGACGATAATGATGTCTTTTCTTATTGAAGAGGCCATCCAACAATGTCACAAGTTCAAGAGCAGGAAAGATGTTTGCATATTCTACTATTGCTATCATGGTCATAACCACGATGCCTCATTTTCCTTTCTACGGTGGGTATTGAGCCAGCTATTCAGGAAAGCCGAAGCCATACCCCCAACCGCCCAGGAACTTTTTAAGGAAGGGAAAGAGCCCAGCTTACCACGATTACTCGACCTATTGGCTGAAATGACCGGCTACTTTGGTACCATATTCGTCATGGTTGATGCGCTTGATGAGAGCCATGATCGGCAGAATATCCTGCATCTGTTACAGAATATGGTCACGGATGACCGTCTCAAACAAGTACAGCTCTTTGTGTCGAGCAGAGATTACATCGACATTCGGCGCATAATGTTAAAACTCTCGACCCCATTATCTCTATCAAACCCGCTGGTAGAGTCTGATATCAAGCGCTACGTTGCCGCCAAAATTGCCGCAAATACAACCTTCAGGGCATGGCCACCAAGCCTTCGCATGGAGGTCGAAGAAAAGTTGTCTAGAGGAGCCAAAGGAATGTTTCGTTGGGCGGTTTGCCAGCTCGATATTCTCCGGCGCCTTAACCGAATGGGCAAAATTAGGACCGCACTACAAAGCCTACCGGAAACTCTTGATGAAACCTACGAGAGGATTTTCTCAAGTATCCACCCTGAGGAAAGAGATTTGGTTCGCCATGCGATTCGATGGATCTGTTTTCACGGAAGCATATATGAATGGCCTCCAATCGACTCATCAACTTTGTTGGAGTTGTACCCCTTATCGGTAGGGGAAGACCATTATACAGCTGATTACTTGTTCACTGTGGAATCGCTCAAAGAGAGCTGTGGCTGCTTGGTCACATTCTCATCCGGTAATGGCTCGGTGATAGAGACTGCGTCACTTGCTCACTACACTGTCCGGGAGTTCCTAGAGTCAGACAGATTGTTAGGCAATGCCTTACATTTCTCCCTAGGTCCACAACGCGATTACGCTGACTTAGTTGACGCCATTTTCAATTGTGCTTTGAAAGCGAGGCTAGATAGCAACGATCCTGGTTCGACATCACCAAATCTCTCGAGACAATACTGCTTAGCTACATCATTTCAAATGATACGATTTCACTCGGAAGTGAAAGCTGATCCGAAGCTTATGTTCCAGTTTCTAACTCCCAAGGCTCCTCATCTCTCAATCTTCCTAGATTACTCGCGTTCACACTCCCGCGTCAACGAGTGGTTGGAATTGGCTACAACTCACAGCATGGTGTGGTCGGAATGGGTTATATCTCACGACGAAGTTCATCACAGCCACTATTTCTGGTTATGGAATTGGGATCTATTTAATGGTTCTGCCATAGTTGGCACATTCGTGATGCTCATGATACTGGGGCGAGATGATCTTGCAGAACTTTGCCTCCTACAATACGGTGTAAAGACTATTCTAGACGGAGAGTTTTGGCTTTGTTCAGATAGGTACTCACGCGCACCGTGGTTTAAAGGAACCGTAGTGGAATATTTCGCAGCTTATGGCATGCTGAATGGTTGGAGATACGGTCCTGAGTCCTTCGACTTATGCTGTCAGTACGGAATCGGCCATACCGATTTCTCAAACGCACTCGCATACTATGCGACCACCCATGGATCTGAGTGTCGGAGCTGCAACAAAAAACATAGAGAGGATGGCAACTGCAGATTTGAGTTTCTACTTGCACATGGTGCAAACCCCAACCCCCAAGGTTTCGAGCTAACGCCACTACAAATCTGCTGTTACAGGCATGACCCGAGAGGTATTCAACTCCTATTAGACGCAGGTGCAGACCCGAACTACATCGGCCAGAAGGGGGCTTTGGAATGGGATTCTGATTTCGTACTTGGAGAATTTGCTCATCTTCGAGGCCGTAGCCCTCTGCGTATTGTCAGAACAAGCGGAACAAGAAGCGGAAGCGATGAAATATCTCGTGATGATGTTGCGGCACAATTATTGCAGCGTGGAGCGAAGGATTTTGACATATCGGAGAGCGGAAACGATATAAAAAGGACTACCGTAGAGATAGAGTAAATCCATCTTAAACTTGTTTTGAATTATGTCACTGCTGATTCGTGTGGATAGCAGGAAATGGGGAATCGCTGAAAGAGATCATCATCTCCAAGGGCAGTATCTGAAAGTTCAATGAGAGAATAATAAATCAAGGGAATATTCCCAGAGCCGAGACGCTCAGAATGCCCTGAGATTCTAGGCCACACCGCCTTCGATTCACGTCTACTAACTTTGACTGTGGCAGAAATCCTAGAAGTGGTGATCGTTAAATGTCACTCCTCCTGATTATTGAGGCGATTTCGCGTGGAGTGCTCAGCCTATCAGCATCATAAAATGGTCAACAAGTTGTATCCCGGCGAGTTGCTTCAGTAACTCCCACGACTAGGCTATTCCTGAAGGCGATTTGATGCGACTCTGTAGTTGAGAAGGATGTTCAATCTGAAGCTGGTGTCGTCAATCTTTAATCATCCTCTGCACGTGCCAGGAGGCGGCCCAGACCATTGTGGGGAGAGGCCATTTGTTGGCCAGTGCTGCGCCGCTTCCTAGGCACAGCGTTGCAGGCAGCTAGAGACACTTGGGCTTGGCTAATGTTAACGCTGGTTTCTGTATTCCCGGAGAATATCACGCCCACCACCAACATTAGCTAGCTACCAGACATTCGTCTCACCAGCTTTGTGAGACCTCCGACGCCACACCTGAGACGATAACGAAGTGGTGCATCTGCCGCACGATTACGACGACGATAATCGAGACGTCTATGGAGCTTCTTCTCGCAACCCTCAGCTGCCCGCAGCGTCGCCAATTTGTTCTCGACCATCTGTCTTGCGCGTCGTTGCCTTGATTTTCCGGGAAGAGCGATGACCGCGTCAACATCACGGATTGCATTGTCGACAACAACTCCTTGCCGTAGTGACCCCATCTCCCGGATCTAGCAGAACCGACGCCGATATATGCAGGAATAGTTTTCAATATCCAGCTTCCATAGAGGCACATTACGCGCCGCCGACACGCGGCTTTGCCGGCCTGGCAATGGACGCCATGCTATCGCATCTGCGATTCCATCGGCGGGGGCCCTCAAATCCAACCTCGCCCGTCCCTGATCAATTGAGCCCATGGGACCATGCCGAACATCCCCAGAGCATCCAGGATGTCTCTCCCCGTCCGGACTTCCGCCCGCGATCCTCCAACTCCAATAACACCCCGCCGACCCTCCCTCCGATCCACCGAGTCACATCCAACGAGGCCGAGGTCAGCCATGATCGAGACAATGAGCCTCCTCCGCCTCAGCCCGTCGCATCCCCGCCCACGAGGCCCTCCTATTCGAGCGGTGACTCGGGCTTCCTCGGCGGAGTTGCTCTACAGAACTACCGTCGGAACATGCAGGCGACCGCCGATAATTCCACCGTTTCTCTCCCAGAAAGTCACATCTCCAGAATGAAGGCTCCACCCCCGCCGATAAACACAAACTTTCCGAGCAGACCACCACCAGTGCCTATCAAGCAGGTCAAGCCCGCGTCATCTTTTGTCACCCCTACGGATCTACAGCACTCCACTGCTGTCATGGGGAAACGGCCGGCAGGAACGAGGCTCGTATCAGAGCCGGTCATGGCGAACACATCTCAGGCAATGGTCGATGCGCAGAAGGCGAAGAAGGGGCTACCCTTCTTGAAGAATCCCATGTCATCCTTGCTAATGAGGAGGAAAGGAACGCAAAACTCCCCTGATCTCAACCCGCTCCCGTTCCCTCAGCCAACAGAAGAGCCGTCATATGACCCGCGCATTCGAGGCACTCGAGTTCATGACTTTAGTGCGCCGCGGCCTCGAAGAATTGTCTCGAACGATGCTGGCCAAGGGAGCTTGAGCCCTAGACCAGATGGCTATAGTGGGTTTGAAAAGTCGCCAATACCTGCTCCCCAGCGCGAAGCGCCAAGCTTGCCTACACAGATGAGTCGTGATGGCAGGAGTGCCAGCAGTGGATCGGGCCAGAGGCAGCCTTATACACTGGATGTAGAAGCTCAATATGAGAGGCATCTCAACAAGATGCCCTCCGAGCAGACGCTCCAGGATACGAGGCGGGCATCTTTCGATCAGAAACCCCTTCCCGAAAAGCCTCTATCACCTACACCCGAAGTTCCGCCCAAGGATGACGCCGCGTCTTCGAGAACGGTCTCAACAAAATCTCGAGTGGCATCTGTGGATGCTGCATCAGTTCGACTAGGCTCAACAGCCTCGACGAGAACAACACGGTCTAGGAACATATCACTGACCGAGACAATCATAAGACGAGAAAGCGTCATGTCGTCTTTGCCCAAGCATATGAAGAGCACTTCTTCGCGCTTCAGCTTCGATATGATCGGCGCTGCCAAAGCAGAAAAGTTGCTTGAGGAGAGACATCGTCAAAAAGCCCTGGAAAAGCAGACTTCTGACCCCGTATCGGCACAACGCGACTCAAGGTTCGACGACTTCGACGATGACTTTGACTATGATGCAATGATGGATGATGATGGCCTAGAGGAGAGGATACCCGGAGTCAATGCTGATTATGACGAGGAAGAAGATTTTGAAGTCGGACTGGACGACGTCGAACCGGATCTAGGTGGTGAGGATGATCCAGACAACGATCAGGAGAACTTTGCCGGCTTCACCTTCCAGCGCTCAAACCCCCAATCATCAGTGACTAGCCCTCACACACCTGGGATGTTGATCACACCTCGAGACGCGAACGGCAATCCGGTAGGGTTTGCAGTGACGAAGAATACAACTCCGGATCCACTGTCGGCCACCTCTCAAGCCTTCCCCCTCGATTCGTCTGATCTGACTTTGCAATCGAAGCTAGAAGATTCGGTCGCGGGATTGGGCATACAAGGTATTGATATGTCCCGGCCATCTACAAATGACGATGTCGAGCAACAGCCCCGTCAAGAGTCAGCGCCGCCGCACATTCCACGGCCATCAGCTCGTGGCGAAGATGACTTGTACTTTGACGAAGGTCTCCTCCAGGAATTGGCTCTAGCTGATGACGAGATCCAACCGTCGACTTTTGACGAGTCCATATTTGACAACCATGATACCGATCAGTATGGGCGGCCCATTCCAGGAGCTTTTGCGCAAGCGCAAGCTATGAGAGCTGCGCATCTTCAGGATCAAGAAAAGCGGGTGTCGGACAGCACGTCACGACTATCTACTCAGTCAGGGGCTAATCAATCGACGGCTCATACATCAATGAGTGTCGGGCTACAGCATTTCCCTTCAGTCATAGACAAGGACAGGGATGCATCAGCATTGATCGACCACGAGCAGCCCGTGGCACCAGCCCCATCTCAGATCAGCTCAGCGGACAAGGTCGCGGCATATCAAGCAGCTCTGGCAGAGGCAGCCCATAAAGCTGCTGCCTCGGGCAAGTTCCGCCGCGATTCTTCACCACCAGCACCTGCCGAGTTGACCATCACATCACCAACAACGGGCTCTCAGCCAAGTACTGCTGACCACAACAATCGAGATCCTGCTTTTGATGACTATGATGACTATGACAATTACAATGATGACGATCTGGGAAACGGCCTGGACGACTATGACTTCGACGATGACGCGATCATTGCTGAAGCGAATGCCAGCGCGCTTGCTAATGACTCCGATGGCTTCTACGGTCAGGAGTTCGGCTTCTACTCGGCTCCGGCACAGCAGTCGCATCACGCTCATCACGGATCCACCTCGTCAAATTCATCTTCTCTAAGTGCGCAGAATCTCTACGAGTATTCAAACGGTGGATTCTTTGGCCCCTCGGGAGTCAACCGCAGCACGAGCGGTCGGGTGGTCAGCCGTGAGCCCAATTTGACACCAATCACTGAGCGGTCTGAATACTCGAACCGCAACTCGATCATGAGTCTCACGCTGCCGCCCGCCATTGGTTCAGAAGGCCGGAATTCTGGCTCCCTCCAGTCGCCTGGTCTGGCGCAGTTGGCAATGATGGCTGATGACAGTGACATGTCACTCTCTGCACTGCTACGTCTACGCAACAAGACTTGGGGTGGGAGTCAAGCAAGTCTTGTTAGCTCACCGAGGGATCAAAGCCCACGATCCGATCGTGCCGGACCGGGCGAGCGCGGAGATGGCGCTGCAAGTCCCTGGGGCATTCCCAGTGCCGGCGGCTATCTTGGTGTTGCGAACCACGGTCGCAAGAACTCTGCCTTCTCGCTTTGGAGTAACTCGGACGCCGGGAGCGGCAGCGGGAGCCCAACCATGACAATGAACATGGCTTTCCCAAGCATCCCAGCCCACTCGGCAGCGCCCGTCAACATCATGCCATCACCAATCTTCTCCCCGCCCGCTCCTCCCGCACAGCAGCCGTCTCCAGTGCCACAGTGCCCACCAGTCTTTGAAGACGAGGAGATTCACGACGATGCGCCGCCGATAGAGAACAGCAGCATGTCCAACTCGGGCTTGTGGATGAAGAGTCCAAGCGAAACGAGCCACACCAACATGATATCGCCCATCTCACCAACCGTGGCGTCAGGTCCGAGCAGACGGCCGGGTATGGGGCATCGCCACAAGGGCTCTGCGGATAGCATCTCGTACATCAAGGAGGAAGACAGCGGCGAGACGCGCTGGGTGGTCGAGCGCCGCCGCACAGCAGAGACGGGGGAGGTGGAGATTTTAGGAAGAGAAGTCCTCGAGGGCGGGCGGATATAGTGGTCCCCGCCGCTCCTTGAACGACTCCTGATGAGAAGAGCTGATTAACAGCCATGAATGACGAAGAGGATGCAGTCACAGGAGATAGTGAGTGACAACGAGACAGAGCAGGGGAGGACGGCTATATAGAGAGCGCATACATCATCGGCGTTGTTGCATTTTGGGTTAACTAGATAATGGAAGCGGGCCTGCGTGTTGGCTTAGATGGATGCGAGCATGCAACAAAAAGGACGGGCCGTTGGCACACGGACTGGATTACAGTGTGGACATGGCGCGGTTACCCGCAGGAGCCTAAAATTGTCAAATGATCAGCCTTGCTGTAGGATAGGAGTTGGCTCGGATGGAATAATAAAAGTGTCAAGTTTGAACATTGAGATGCAGTCTTCAATATTCGTGCTGGGATGCCCTCACAAAGACGATTGTTTGGCTCTGAAGATCCGTAGAAGTCCTAGGACGTCTGCGCTCTTCACGGCCGCGCGCGCTTAGATCGAGATCAGTATTTCAACCCCGTGGCTCATGGATTGAAATCACACATGCGACGAGTCGTTGTGAAAGGCTCAAAAGACGAGTAGAGCTCTTCCTGATGCTATCACACAAACAACGAAATTCAATTGGCCAGTTCCTGATGAGAGTCAATCTTTGCGTGCTTCCGCGGAAGGGTCGATGGTGTCCGACGCCGATTACAAACACGGCACTGAGTCAAAACAGCGCCTTACCGCATTCGGACCACCGCGCGGGCTCAGCACTTAGACCCACGACAGATCTGTAATCAAAGTCAATCCAGACTCACCGGTGGCGCTGGACCGATGGAGACTGCGGCTTTGAATTGGAGCTAAGATCAGGTGCAACACCACCAGGTTATCAAGAGAGGCTCAGCCAGGGCAGGGGCAAGATGGAACTTTGATGTGTTCTAATCTTATCTGATGTGAGATGTGAGATGGTGACATCTCCACTGCCGCACTGGACTCTTCAGAGCGGAATTACCTGAAACTACTGCACTCACCACCCCATCCTATCATTACACAGCACATTGCCAGCAATGGCGACCAAAGTCAAGCCCGTCAACGGCTGCTGGACATGCCGCCTCCGGCGCAAGAAGTGCGACGAGGCCCGCCCCGTCTGCGGCGAGTGCAGGACGCTCGAGGTGACCTGCCACTTCCGCGACTCCAAGCCCGAGTGGATGGACGGCGGCGACCGGCAGAACGCCATGGCCGAGCGCCTCAAGGCCGAGGTCAAGCGCAGCGCGACCCGGCGGCGTAGCAAGCGGCACATTGAAGCCCTGGCCCGGGGCATGGAGGACGACGGCTTCAGCTTCATGGATGCGGCCGAGGCGGCGTCGATGGAGACGCCTGCGCCGCCGACCACGACGGTGCAGCAGAAGGATGAGAGTGTCGTGGCGCTGATGACGCCGAGCGAGACGTCCATGTCCATGACGCCCTCGTCTCTTGGGCCTGAGAGTGTCGATACCGGCGTCTTCGTGGACTCGCCGTTTGACAATTCGACATTTTCACACACCGATGCGTCCGGTATGTTAGATCCCGTACTGAATGCAACGTTCGATGTCCCAGTCCGTGCAGCCACGACGACAGATCATCGTCCAACCAATCCTGCTGCGCTACAAACACCCGACCCAACACTCATCAAGGAGGAAGATCAATTCCTCGTCATGACATACCTGGATTACGTCATGCCCTTTCTCTTCCCTCTCTACAAGCCCAGCGTCGTCGATGGCGGCCGCACCTGGATGCTCGCGCTCCTGGTCAAGAACACAGGGCTTTACCACACTGCCCTGAGTTTGAGCGCCTACGTCTTCTCCACTGCGCTGTCAGCGCAGCACTCCGGACACGACCACTGCAAGGACGGAAGCTGGGAGTGTCTGCTAAAGCAATCGGAGCTGTCCATCAAGACGATACAGCAGGATGTAGAGCAGTTCAACCGCGATGGCATCCAAGACAGGCTTGTCGAGGGCGGACAGCTCATGGGGAGCGTCATGCAGATGCTCACATTCCAGATGGGCTGCGGCTGCGGGGAGTACTGGCAGCCGCACATGGACGCGGCCATTGCGCTCTTTGAGCAGATCTTTCAGCATTACGGCACCGTCAATGGCGTCCCGGACATGAAGGTTGTGCTTGAGAAGATGGGGGAGATGTCATGGCGGAATGGACATCCCAAGAACCATACGGTGTGGGCGCCAGACCAAGCCGCGTTCTTGTTCTTTGGGTCCCTTGTGCTGGCATATGATATCATCGCCAGCACGTCCTTGGAACAACCCCCGCGGTTACAAGCATATCACCAGCGTCTTCTCATCGGCAGCGGGTGCCCGGACGACGAGCCGCTAGTCAAATTGGAGAACTTCGTAGGCTGTCAGAATTGGGTGCTCATACTTATTGGTGAGATCTCTGCTCTGGACACATGGAAGAAAGACATGAGGAAAGATGGCCGTCTATCAATGATGGAGGTGGCTAGGAGGGCGAGCACCATCGAGCGACGACTACACGATGGCTTGGAACAGCTGAACTCGACCGGTTCAAGCAATCCAAACAGTAATCCCTTGGATATTCTCGCGTTGTACAACAATCAGCCGTGTACGCCAGATATCCGGGTCACCCTCACCAGGATTTGGGCACACTCGGCACTCTCTTACCTATTCATCGTTGTCTCAGGCTGGCAGCGAGCGAGTCCAGATCTGCGCAATAATGTCTGCCGAACCATCCAGCTCCTCGCCACGCTCCCGTCCCCCGGCTGGCTGAGGAATCTGGCCTGGCCATTTTGCGTCACGGGCTGTCTGGCCGAAGCACATCAGGAGCAAGTCCTTCGAGACATGGCTTCAAGTCTAGGCGTGTTGCAGGGCTTTGGGTCCATATTGGCGTCATTGACCATCATGGAAAGGGTCTGGCTCAAACGCGAGGAGCTATGTCCCGACTTCTGGGACTTGCCAGGATGCTTTCAGATTCCAGGGTATCGCGCTCTATTAGTATAAAAGCGAAGTTATTTAAAAACAAATATTCCAAGTTACTCTGTACTCTCCGGCGTATCGCTCCAGTAATACGTGAAATTATCCACCCCAAACAAAGGGTCTTTAAACGCCCGCCCCTTAGTCTCGCCTCTCGCACCCGCGCACACCAGCAGCGGCAGGAAATGCTCGCCCGCCGACGGCGGGTGCATGTCATCGGCATTCGGAAACTGCCTCCAGCGCTCGAGCCTCTTCTCCCGCTCGTCGCCCTTGACCTCGTCCCCGATGACCGCGTCGTTCAGCGCGACGTGCCACGCTTTCGACTTGGCCTGCAGAGATGCGATGGACGCAAGGCCCATGAACACACGTCGCAGGACGGGCGTGTTGTGGAACGAGGCGGATCCGGAGCCTACGATGGCGATGTTCTTGTCGCGCAGGCTGGCGAGCGCACTGCCCATTCTGAGATGCGCGGCTGCGTCTTCGCTAGCGAGCACGGAGACTTGCACGATTGGGATGTCCGCTTGGGGGTTGATGAGCAAGAAGGGGATAAAGACTCCATGATCCCAGCCTAATGGCATATTAGACCACATGTAATCATTGGCTTTTTGTACGGACTAGCACGCACCTCTTGTCTTGTCCATAACAGGGCTGAAGCCTCCCCGCTCCAGTGCTTGCCTCACCTCCTCGGCCACTTCTGGTGAGCCGGGCGCTGGGTATTGAAGCTCGTAAGCCTCGCGCGGAAATCCGCCGTAGTCATAGTACAGCCGGTGAGACTTTGCGCATGAGATTGTGGGCTGGTTGGTGCTCCAGTGAGCAGTGACCACCACAATTGCTCGCGGTGCCTCAGGGGTGTGCAACTTGAGGATCTTTGGCACACGCTTCTTCATCGACTGCACTATTTCTTTGTGCCCAGGGTCACCAAGCACTGGCATGGGGCCTGTAAGTGGATGTTAGCAAGCCCGTGGTCTTGTCGATGCATTGGCATACATACCTCCGCCATGGGCAACGCTCACTACAGCAGCGCGTGTCATTGTATGGGCTAGATGTCGCTCAGCAGTTTTCAGGTTGATGAGAAGACGTCTGAGCATCCAAAGGAGTCAAAATGTTGCAAAGACGGCCAAGTTTTTGCTTTGCGAAGTCATAAAATGTCCTTATCATTACAATGCCAGTCATAACAGGTATTTATTCGGCCTGCCAACTCCACACGCATGTTTAAGCCGCCAGCGTTGGCGGTCCAGCCTTTCCATCGCAAGACTAAGACCTGAAACTACAGCCTATCTAGTGTTAGTGAAGGGCGGTCGGCGCTGTGTTCCAGGGGTAGCTTGTACAGCCAGCATCATCCGGGCGAGGGTTAGGGTCGCGCGAGCGGTCTTCTTAATAGAGCAAAACGAAGCCGGCGCTGCGCACGATGATTCGCTGCTCAACCGTGTCAATGCCATGAATTAGTCATGCTGACCAGAATTACTCGCGCGGCAGCTTTGTAAGTCAGGCCTCGTTCCGCCTGTTTGGGATGGGTCCTGCGTTCGATTTGGAAAGGCTGCCTTACATGGGAGGGAGTTCCGAGGAACCCCAGTGTGTGACTGACGAAATTTTGCACGATCAGCCTTCCACATTGATATTATTTATAACAGCCGCCTGCCGCCTTTTGATGGAGCGATGCAATTTTAGAGGACAGCATCGTTGGCCATCTACGGTATCTCTAACTCGACGACAAACAAACATTCTTTACTTCATTTCACCAAGGTCTCGAGTAGTATTCCCGAAATGGCAAAGCAGATTGTTATTCTTGGTGGCGGCTTCGCGGGCATCCCGCTAGCCCATAAGCTCTTAAAGTACACCATCCCAAAAGTTAAGGAGGCCAAACTCATCCTGGTCTCTGCATCCACACACCTTTATTGGAACCTCGCAGCAGTGCGCGCGGTGGTACCCGATCAGATCCCCGAGGATCAACTATTCCGACCAATCAAGGAGGGCTTTGCCAAGTACCCATCCTCCCAATTCGAACTCGTCTTTGGAACAGCCACCAGCGTCGACCTCGATCAGAGCACAATCGTTGTCGATGTGGACGGGAGTCCAACAACCATCACCTATGACCAGCTCATTCTCGCAACTGGATCATCCATCAGCTCCGGCTTGCCTTTGAAGCATATTGGCTCCTCCGAGGCAACCAAGACTGCCCTTCGTGACCTGCAGGGCAAGATCAAGGCCGCCAAATCCATCATCATTGCCGGAGACGGCCCGACGGGTGTCGAGACGGCGGGCGAGATTGCCCACGCCTATGGTGGCAAGAAAGAACTCACTTTCATTGTCTCGAAAGACCATGCCCTTCCCGGTCTTATGCCATCTGCCGGCAAGGCTGCCGAGAAGGAGCTGATCAAGATGAACACCACCATCATTCACAACGCTACGGTCACTGATGTCAAAGACCTTGGAGCGTCCAAGTCTCTCACACTGTCTAATGCCAAGACTCTGTCGGCAGATGTATACCTGCCCCTTTTTGGTTTGAGGGCAAATGCCTCTTACTTGCCGTCTACAGTCCTTGACAGCAACGGCAACGTTAAGCTTGATACCACGCTACGTGTGACGGGCACCAAGAATGTGTGGGGTGTTGGCGACATTGGTAACTTGGAGACGAAGCAAGTGATGAAGGTTGAGCCTCAGGTTATCCACTTGGCCAAGAACCTAGACGCCGTGGTTACGGGCAACTCGACCGGTGTCACTGATTACAAGACATCAGACAAGCCTATGATATTCGTTACCATTGGCAAGAGCAAAGGTACAGGTCAGATGGGTGGGATGAAGCCGTTCAGCTGGTTAGTCTCGTACATGAAAGGCCGAACTTTGTTCATTGAGAAGGGGCCGGCCCTGATTGAGGGCAAAGCAATCATCCAGGCCAGCATTTGATAAGCTCAGGGTTGGAGTCATGCGCAATCGTTTATTTTGCTAAAGATACCAGTATAGGCTGAATTGTTGTCACTCAAACCAGTTGTCATCAGATGGATTGTAGTTTATTAGGTGAAAGTTGGGAAACTTCTTTTAGTCTCGGGTCTTCAGGCCTCTGTTAATCAGCTAGCTTTTTGTTTCCTTCTTCTCGAATAATTCTTGCCAAGGGCTGAGATCTGCTGTGATCATTGTGAGTGTCTGGTAACCATCTGGACTATACCATTCAGTAACAGTGTCTGCTTTTTCTCCTTCATCGGATTGTAGAAGTATCTTCGGATCTATTCCAAGTCGTTCGGCAAGATGCTGGTGAGCTATTTTCGCTATCTCGTTGAGATCTACGGAGTCTGGGATCCAAAAAACATTAGGAGTCCAATAGTCAGAACCCAGTTTGGCATATGGCGAAATGCGATCTCCAGTGTCTTCTTCATACTGAAACCCGAACATGCGTACGTCTTTGTCTTTGGCATGTTCTAGTGATTCCTTGAACATCTCAATGTCCTCGACGCGAACTTGTAAAGAGGTCGCTGAGCCTCTGCTGCCTTTGCATGGCATGTAAGCCGAGTTCGGTCTCATCTTTACAGTGATTTTCTGGAAGTCAACTTGTACTCCCATCACTTTTGCAAGCTTTGACATAATATCAAATTGTCGGTTGCTGAGTGCGGCGCCGGAGCTTGCTAACCTGAAGCATTCAATCAGGAAATCGTGGTAGACTTCATGTGTATCTTTACTATAACCAACTGTGAACAGCTGCTGTCGAAGATATCCAATATCTCGAAGACCATAGAGCTTATCTCTTGGGTCAGCGCACTTGAAGTCACTGAATGCTTCGATGAGGTCAAAGATGTCTAGTGAATCTTGATCTTGCTTGACCTTGAAGAGCTGAAGAAGAATTTTGCGGTCGCGTATCTCCTGCCGCAACATGAGTTCCTGGTGTGTAGCTATCGCCGTTGTTGATATAATCTTGAGTTCCATCATGATCTGGAGAAATTCGAAGTTGAAGTGGTCCCATGACGTCGTCTCCTCCCTGTAGGCCTCCGTTCCCAACATGACAAGGATATTTCTGGCTCGAGCCATCTCTTGCACTATCCAGAGCCGTTCGAAATATGAATTCGCGATGATGGAACGAAATCCGTGCAGGAGGTCAAGAGTCATTGGCACCTCGCGCTCTGCCATGTTCCCCTTGACGACATCTGCTTTCTGAATACATACCATAGCAGCAAGTTCGAGCTCCGTGCCAACTCCAAGCCACGCGAGCACAGATACTGCGCGACTATAGTACTGGCCCATACCGCGCACCTGATTATTCCTTTCGGGGATATCTTCTTGATTGATACAAAGTTGGTCAATCCAGAGGTAGACATCATCGTTGTATGAAGAGCGAAACGATTTCATGAAGTTGAAGAGGTTCTGTCGAACAGAAAACCGTCGCTCATTAACGAAGATGATGTGAGAAGGTGTCTCGGGGCCCCACGTATATGACAGAGCCCAGTAGTCAGGGCAAGTGTTATAGCTGTAAGTCTTCAATGAGCACTTCAACGGGGTGATTGTGTCACCACCTTGTATCCGCAGCAGACGAATAGCATGCGAAGTAGCCTCGGGTGTTTGGAGAAGGCTATCGTAGACAAAATCCCGAGTCTCCGCCATGATCCCAGCTGGTTGAGAGAACTGACACGAAAAATACCAATTTGGTATGTTGGATTGGCAAAGACATTGCTATAATAGTTGCGATTAGTACTAGCATATATGCCAGTGCAGTGAATGTTTTAGAAGGTTGGAAGAACAGCAGTGAGAGAAAGGCATACAGAGATTACAGCGTGGCGTGAGGCGCAAGCGAGGCGCAGCTTGCCCAATGTGCTGTTGTTGAGTACATCTCTTTCAGGTGTGGTAAAGTTGCACTGCGTCATACACCTGTCGTCGACAGCTGTTGGCTCAAGGTCAAACCTCAAATTGCTCAACCCTGGTAATCGAGTGTCATTACAGTATATCGAAGGAGATAAATCAGCTACTGTTAGTCATTCATGTCTGTTCACTGTACTAATAGCGGTAGTTTCAGACTTCTATGCATTTATCCAATTTACAACAATCTAGAGAAACCACAATCGGGATTATCATAGTATTTCAACTCTCTGCACGCAGGGTAGCTCAGTATTAAGACTACACGTTTTATTGATTCTCAGTATTTACTATTGTTGACTTGCGGATTTCTGGGCTGATGTTCACATGCCTACTTTATCAGCCGTCCTGTACACACACTGACAGTCGATGTAGAGCCTAGAACATTTCCACTTGCATCCAGTGCTGACACCAACGCGTACTTTGCTTTACCTACGTCAATAGCTGTCTCAAAGCCGGACTTAACAACCGTAGTGTACTCTGTAAGTTGAGTTGCACTTGTTCCGGTGTACTGATGAAGAGAAGTTAGCGATGGCGGTTTCTTAGTGGACCCAGATCTGAAGACTTACCACAAGCCATGACCTAACCTCAGTAGCACCATTCCAACTAACGTAAATTTTTCTATCCTTGGCCGCAATTGAAGGTGGCCAAGTAGGGTATCCCACCCAATCACTCGCGAAGACACGGTAGTTAGCCTGTGGCTGGCCCCAGATGGAGAATTGGACATCCTGAACACACTCGCCAGTAGGAAGGTGCTGAGTGAAAGTAGGGTTGACTCCCCACCCCACCAGAGCATTACCACTGTCAAGTTGATCATAGCTTCCCATAGCAAATGAAGCCATGCTCTCAGGATGCCAAGACTCAGCAATCACAGATACAGTCATTGCTTCGTAGTCCAGATCAAGTGATAGACCGCGTGAGCAATTGGATGTGCATCCCGTGCCTTGAATGAGCTCATGGTTGTCAAACATGGTAAGATGCTTGGTATCGTAATTCCAGTATCGTGCATGATGTTGAAATCCAAAGTCCGTTGCTTTCCCTTCTGATAGATCAGAAAATTCATTAAGTTTGCCTCCTAGTTTCCATATAGGAGATCCCGTAGAACCGTCGATCAAAGTGACAATCTTTAAAAGTCGCCCGTTCACAAGATAATTTGACCCAACCTTGAGAAGCTGTCAGAATACCTGGGTAAGCACTGTTTGGATGCAATCACCTTTTGTATGCTATTAATGTGGAAGAAGTCCCACCCATCACTGGCGCCGTCGTAAGCGCCAAAAGTATCTGTAATGTTAAAATGATGGCTTGCACGCCAAGTGAAAACACTATGCATTGTACCGAGATCAATCTCCTCAAAGGAAGAGTCGAGAAGAAGTCCGTCAGCCGGGCCACCAACAGGAGTCAAATCGTATGGCGTTGGAATATACGTGGTGATTATTACAGTGCCATCGTCTGTGATCTGGCATTCGTGAGCATCGGCAAGTGTGGCGGTCGTTATGGTCGAGATATTATAGACCAGTCTGTAGTTATTGTCGAAAAACAGGCAGTGCCCTTGACCATGGCCCGCCGCTGCCGAAAAGTAGCCCTCCCAAAAAGTCAAGAAATTCTGGCCCCTGTACGTCTGAACCCGGGCGTTCGTGCGATTTCGTGGCGTGGAGTCAGAATATACAAGTGAGAGATCGGAAGAATTGAACATCAGGACTGAGTAAGCCTGCCCTGGCTCGTAAGAAGTCAGGAAGATAAAAGACCGACTGACATCAACCGCATCCTCAACCCATCGATTAACTTGGAATATAGGAGAGACCAAATCCGAAGAGACATATGTTTGATTTGGTATCGGTCCAAGAGCTCCGCTATTGTAAAGGGTCGCATCATGCATTGGGGAAATGTCTGCTACCCCTAGCGTTGGCGCAAGTGCGAGAGTAGCGGGAAGGCATTTTCCAAGCACCATGTTGTAGGATTGTTAGATAGAAGAAAGCGACAGGCTGACATTGAACAAAGAGCGAATACGCTGGCAATCATGATGCATCGTTGCGCCTTCTATAACATTATAATCTTATTTTGATCTTCCTCTTCTCGGAACTTCACAACCGCAAATTGGGGTACCGCCTATTGAAATTGCTCCGAACACAAGTGATTGACCAGGGGTGACAAGAGTCGCCGACTTTAGATCCGGAACATCTTCTTAGGAACAAGCTAACTCCGCATTGCTTTGACTTTTCCCACGCCCCAATGCAGCTTCCCCTCATTATGGAGAGATTAGAAGGGCAAGTCATAGAAGGTAGTCGATGCAGGCCCTTCAGCTTGAGCAAGATGATCTGGCCAATGTCTAAGTCATACCCCGGACTTCCATCTAAAAGCGCATGTCGGATTATGAATGCCAAGCCTTGCTGCAGGTACGCAAATGCATTTAGGGATAGTTTACGCTTTGAGCTCAATTACCAGCCTGAAAAGGGCTTCAATCCTATGAATTTTGCAGGTGTCTGGAAGAGAGATCGTCGGCCGATGGAGCTTTGATCAGTTGGTCTTTACAAGGCACTCTGATTCCACAAAGCTGTCAAATAGACCTTCTCTTGGGGTTCGTGCCCTGGTAGTCATCAAGACACTTGTTAAAAACATATCACATGAGAAGCGTCGATAATCACACGCTCTTGGTATCCCTTCCTTTCCTATCTTGAAGCTTGCGGGCAAGAATAGCACTGGTCACCTTGCGGGGCCCTGTATCCCCCCACGGAAAGACTTCTGCTTGGAACTCATGAGCCAGTTCTGAAGTACGGTATACTGCTATTATCTATCACTTCACCAAAATGACCGGAAGAAGTAATTGCACTAGTGACTTCGGGCAATTCCCATGTGTGAGGCTGTCAAAGTTCGGCAGGGGGCAAGACATTCTTTTCCAGCCTTTCGGTGAAGTTACTATGCCAAGTCTCTTGACCTCCTAGTAGTAAATCCAGTCATATCTCTAAATATCATGTGCCAAGTGACCTCAAGCGCCATCCGTACTTGTATATGCTCCCAAAAAGCGATCAGAAGCTTATGGCCAAGTACACGTTTCGGGATCAGGAAAAGGC